TAGAAACCCTATGCATAATTATAAAATTTTTTCGGGATTACTTTTTCAGCCATTATATTATTCTATTTTATAATCTAATGTGAAAAACTAAAACTAAAAACTTATATACACAACACTCCTCGTTTATATTTAACTATACAATTGGCAAAATGTTGGATTTTTTATGATTTTTAGTTATAATTGAACATAGTGCACAAAACGTAGAAGAATTCTTATATGTCCGTTATGGTAAAAATATTATGCCACTAAACACTACCCTGNTGCACAAAACGTAGAAGAATTCTTATATGTCCGTTATGGTAAAAATATTATGCCACTAAACACTACCCTGCTGTTTTACCTTTTCAATAATTTCAAATACTAATATCTCAAAAATGAATTATACAAAACTGATTATAGAAGTAACGAATTGGGAATGACAGATCTAGGTTAGTCATTATTGGAGGTTGGCAGTCAAAATTTTTATATAATTGTAGGCTACATGATAATGATGATAATGAAATAAATCTATGTAATCACTCATAAAGTTTTATTCCAAATAAGACTAAACAAACACAGAACTTTTTAATGAAATGTGAAAATAATGACATACGTAACAGAAATCAAGAGATTTTATCATTGTTTTCATGAAACAAGCACTAAAAACATATGTCAATAATAATATAAAAATATGTGTACTACAATTTATGTACAATTATTGTATTGTTATTGAAATATCATGAATTGTCAGAATTATTTAAGAGTAAATTAAACAATTATATTACCTGGATTTAATATATTTGTGTATTATTTCATAAACTCTTTAATCATTAGTGAATATTGAGTAATATTGTATGTATCAATTTTCTAAGCTAAATTTACAAAACTTCAAATCCTTGTTGAAAATATTCCTTTTTAATCAAAACTCATTCTAAATCCTGTCCCTCTAAAAAATTAACTTATTCCCCTTTTCGTTTCTTTTTTTATTAAAACAGCTATTATTAATATACTATTATTATGACAATAATTCAAAATTTAGATTGAGTATATTTTAATCATCCGGTGTTAGGGGTAATTTGAACAAAATATTTGGGAAATCCATCTTAATTTCATTCATCCTTAAAAAATTTTTTATTTAGATAAACATGTAATTTTCTATTTCACGAGTGGGGATAGTTGCGAAAGAATTAGTAAACTGAGACCTCTAGACTTTCAGGCAGTGCATATGATCCTATTGTAATGACTCAAAAAGAACTCACTCTAGTAGTAGTTTAAAAGAAAAAAAACCCAGCACAGGGGGGTCGCGGCACAGTTGAGACGTGGTATAGTTAGATCAAGTATAATGATATCTGACAGTGATTAAAATCACTATCAAAAATAAACGCTTCGATGCAAATCTTTAGATAGTGTTTAATTTAAAAAAAATTGGTGTTTTATTCCAAAAGCTACTTGATCTGCTGGTTCCTTA